CCCGCTGCCAGGCTTGCCCGGCTCCTTGGAGACCAGAGTGTTGTGTCAGAAGCAGTTTGCGTTACCCGCGTTCATGCTCGCGTCTCCTCTCGGCGCCGTTATATGGGAATGCCCCCTCCCCCAGGTTGGCAGCAAAACGTTGATAATTAAGTCAAAGGCAGTTCCCATACTGCAGCCTCTTCATTAAGGAAAGCAACATGGCTAACCGTGTCAATGGAAACAGTCCTTTGCTGGGGGAGGCTCAAGACCGGCTTGTGCCCAGATGCTGCAGAAATTGCCTAATTTCATAATTGTCAATGCCCACTTCTGTAAGAAAAGTCCACAGATGACATGTGTGTGGTTTACTGTAACTTTCTCTTAAGTGAAATTCCTAGAAGGGGTGTTTTCTCAAATAATTTTAACGTCTTTTTTTTTTCTTTTCTTTCTAGGTGTTTGTTTCAGGATGGTAAGGCCATGTCTGATTTACCAGCTCTTCTTCACAGTATAGTATTTCCAGTGCTAAAAATACGGCAGCAGGTCTGTAGTGTATAGACACATCCAACTGCTGTTTTCAGTCCAAAGTTAGGTGGTTAAGTATTGCAAGTAAAAGGGAAAAAAAAGTTCTATATTACTGCTATATTAAAATTGATTTTTAAAGGCTTACTAATATGTTGTTTGGATAGTAATCATGAACTTTAGCTCATGTTTGGATTACTTGTGATAAAACAGCCACAGGAGTATTATAACATGTTAATCTTTAGAAAGGTTAAAGCTGAAGCTCTTAGCTTCTGAAACAATGTGTTCTGGTTTAATTTCTTTTAATGGCAATTATAGTACCAGTATTTCAAGAAGCTTACTGTGTTTGCTTGAAACAGCGTGCTACGAACATGCAGTCTGTGGCTCATATCCCAGCCAAACACCTCCACCAGCTCTGAACGTGCAGCAAGTAGTTTTGCATTTCACAGTAACCCAAGACACAAGAGGCCACGTTTCAAAACAGAAGAGAGACCTGTCTGAAAATAGCAGGCCATGCTTAGTAGTAGACCTAAAAATAGTACTGAGAACCAGGTTGTCAGCTGCATTTCTGTGGTTTTGGACAAGTTAGTGTGCAGAAGCTGCCCATAATCTTGAAAAATACTCTTTATAGTTAGCAGCACCTTTTCATTTGCTAAATTACCCCAAAATCTGTTTTGCTTTTTGGAATATAGTCTTATTGACCTGAAGTTTGACTGTTGGCATTAGTGTCTAAAGAGGTCGATAATGCAGTGTGTGCATTTAGTATCTGTGTATTGTTTTGGGTATTATTGCACATAATCTGAAATGTTTGGTGGCCGTTTCCTATCAAAACGTATTGAAAATGCTCAGATCTTATTGCAGAGCCATCAGTCTGTTGATGTTCTGTAATACAGGATAAAAACATTGGCTCTGTAGTCTTATACCTCTTCACTAAATACGCAAGAAGCAAAACAGAGGCAGTACCTTTCATGTAAATAAATTTGCTATTAATGAAATGAAGTACTGTGTATTGGCTAGTAGTGTTTATTGTCCTACATGGAACAAAAATTTAATGGATTTCTGCAAACCAGACTTTCTGTTCCCTACCGTTTTAGTGTTCAGACATGAAAGACAGAAAATGAGAAAGCTTAAAAAAAAGTCCACCACAAAAATCAGGGTACTTGGAAGTTCCTTTGTGATTTCATCACAAGAAGCGAGTAGCTGGGAAACCATAGTTTGCTGTGGTATTACAAAAATAGTAGAAAAGCAGTATAATTAGATTATGACCTTTGCTGCTGTTTGTTCAGAGTAATGTGATAGCTGGGAAACCATAGTTTGCTGTGGTATTACAAAAATAGTAGAAAAGCAGTATAATTAGATTATGACCTTTGCTGCTGTTTGTCCGGAGTAATGCGGCAGGTGGGGTAGAATTTAAGGCGGTGAAAGTCAGCTGGAAAGTATTTAAAAAGAACTATGATTTTTGTACATGTAGCAAAATTAATGAGTTTAGACACTGATTGGTGCAGAGGCAAATGAGTGGTGGGTGATAGGAGCTATAGAAAGGAATAAAGGAGGTACGAAGGAGTGGTGTGGGATTAGTAGGGTTCTTTGTAATCAAAACTGTTTAAAGTTCCTGAAATAAGGGGAGCTAGTATTCGGCCTCCCTGAGGATGAAAAAACTCTCACCCCATCAGTTTTCTATACATGTACCTATGATAAAGCAAAGAGGAAGATGACTTCTTACAAGCAGTGTGGTGTCTCAGTGGGAGCCATGATATCTATGGATTTTTTTTCTGAGGAAAAGTGTTAAAAGCTGTGAAAATGGAAGTGGGAATTAACTAATGCATTTATTATGTATATGTCAAAACTCGTTCAAAGTTGGCTGTTTCTGCTGCAACCTCAGAGCTGACAGGAATATCTTAATGTATGAGCATCACCTATGGATGTTTTTCTTAAGTGTAGGGCTTAGCTAGGAAAGTGAAAGTGGGGTTTGAAGTGGTATAGATTTAGGTATGTGCTGACACTGATTGTCCTCTTTCATTATTTTTCGAACCAGTACACTGAAGAGGAAGCTAGGAAATTAGGAGTGGTCGGCTGGGTTAAAAATACCAGCCAAGGAACTGTGACAGGCCAAGTTCAGGGCCCAGAAGATAAAGTAAATGCAATGTAAGTATTTTTATGTTTTATTTAGTCTTAATTAAGTCATCTACAGAAACAATTTTAATCCAAAGTGGCAGATAGCTTCATGTGTCAGTAGTGTAACAGTACTTTCAATAATCAGTTCTGGTTTTGAGGAGTTGGAGATAGATTCTTTTAAGGTGTAGAAAAGTCTTGAAGCTTTAAAAATAATGTGTGGCATTGGCCAGTTTTAATTTTCAATGTTGCACAGTTTGTCAGTGTGTTTCCCTTGCATATTCTTTTCTTGTGAAATGAAGAAAAAGCCTTTATTCATACATGTGATCACAGATCTGTTTTTTAATTCTTTGAAATGTCTCTGTAAAAACATAGACTGAAGAACCTCAAATGCTTTCTCGGCCTGTGCTTCAGTCAAAAGGAAACTGGGTTTAAGTATGATTTCTTTTTCCCCCTGATTTAAAGAAAATTAATACTAATTTTCAGCAAAGGCCTGTACTCTTTACCATATGGAAATAAACTTTGAAATATTTTGGTGTCTTTGAAAGAATGGGGATGATTTTCTTTATTAAACTGCCAATTTCCAAATGCTAACAGCTATTGCTCTGAGCAAATGATGCCTGGAAAAACACAAAGCCCAATTCAGTTGATTCCAACTATCATTATTTGCAAGTTTATATGAGGAGATTGTTGGCAGTTTTTAAAAATCCTTCAGAGGTTTGTTCTCAACAAAGAATGAGCGATGGTAAAACTGTCCTTATTATGGACAGGCAATTCCTAGTGCAAATTCTGCCGGCACTTTCTGATACAGGAATTGCTTCAAAATTCAGCTTAGATAGTGAACTTGGCTTTTTGCAGAGAAAATAATGTTACACTTTCTGGTTAAGAGATTTATATATGATTATCTAATGAGAGGACCATTTCTAGTAATTTTCTTTGGTCTTGAGCTTAACATTATCTTGGTTGCTTATCTTGGGCTGCAAAACATGTACAAAGCCAGAAAGATATCAGCTGTTTGTTTCCTAGGTCGAGTCCATACTTAACTTCCTTGAAGACCTTTGTTAATAGCCTGATCCAAATAATTTGTAAATTTAGTATCTTGGTGCCTTCTCTCTAGTTAATTTAGAACATGGAAAAGGAATATGTGAGAAATCAGGATTTGTTTTCCGTTTGTTGGAGTACTTTTTCATGTACAAATTTCTAGTCAGTTGATTTGTTCTCATTAATCAGGTTTAAGTGAAGGCACAGCTTAGCTCCTGGTGTTTCTTGTATTTGCATGGGCTAGGATTGCTGCAGAATGCAGTAATTTCATCCATCCTTTTCCCTTGTCTATTATCTGTGTTGATGGGATTTAAAGGCAACTGTGCTTACGCGAACACCTGAAAGTTTGTGTGACGGGATCTTGCAGTCGAGCTGCAAAATGAGACTACAAAACTAGGCTTTTTTTCAAGGATGTGTTGGCATACATGCTATTCCAAAAGGAAGTAAATTTTTATTTTTCATTGTTACACAATTTGAAGTAGGGTCGGCAAGCTAGATTGCGCCCCAGAAAAAAAAAGAACCTTGAAGCTTTTTATGTGTGTTGTGTTTGATATTCAGAGCAAACTAAAAGCTCTTTTGAGTTGGTGCTACTTTATTTCATGATGGAAATCCATGTTTTCCTCTGATGGGGGAATAATGTTGCAATGCTGAAGTTGAAGTATGATTTTTGAAGTATGCATTGAGATAGGGATTATTAAATTGGCGATCCTGGAGTAGAATGCTGATGGAGAAACAGTTCGCTTTTCCTTGCTTCCTGTGATATATTGAAAAGATAGAGTTTATTTTAGGCATTAAATTGGTGAACTTGCACATGAAAAGGGGGTTATTGTGTATGAACAGCTATTTCGAAAGGCCCTTACTTTTCTGTGCTACTACATGTAAATAGGAGATCAAAATAGGTTGGAGTTTTAGAAGTTTTTTCCAGAACTTATAGCATTTTTTTTATTGTTAATGCCCAGTTATGCTTCCTAGGAATTCATAATATTGTGTTCTAGATTTAAAGGTGTTTAAAATACTATATTAAATTTACCCAAAATGTGGCTTGCTTCTGCTACAGCAAATTAATATAAACCAGTAGTCCTGGACATAATTCAAACTGCGATAAATCATCAGGAGGAAGTTCTGGCACCACCTTCCTTTGCAAGCTCTGGTTTGTTATTGCTAGATATTCAGAATATAAGAGACTGTTATGTGTGTGACACTTCAAAATTTGGAGACGTCTGTTTCTTCAAATGGCATGCTTTTCCAAGAAGTACAGTACCTCAGCCAGTATCATAAGGTATTTCAAGAAAGCTTCCTGGTTAGTGCTGTTTCAAATAATGTAACAATGTGTTAGCTTGTAGAAATCTTTCAAGAATAGTTTGTGTGGTGTCTCTTGGACAAGTATTTTTGCACTTTTGTAAGTTTCCAAATTAAACTTCAGGCACAAAATGCCTGATTTTCAGAGATGCGACACGTGGACTTCTAAACACATTTTATTAATGACAATAAAATGATTTCTCAGTTGTTTTACTGGTTCTGGCTTGTTAATGTTAGTGTTTTCCTGGGGGAAGGTGGAAGGGATGTTTTGGTCGATCATAAACAATGCTTGTCTTTTTGTGATGCTAAGAAGAATCAAAAACAGACTCAAAAGAGTAGGGATGCCATAAGAAATTACAGTTCTAGAACAGGTAGGAGAAAAAGCAATATGGGAGGGAGGATAAGAATTGGGATAGAGGTAGGAGAAGTGTAAAATCTGTGGGAAAAACACCATGAGGCAATTCAATGTTACCAGAAGCATGGAGTGAATAACAAAGCATGCCTTTGTTCTGGAGCAGCAGAGCGGCAGACCTCTAAGCCAACCGTTTCCCAACAGCAGTCCTTTGCTCCTGATTTTCTGACCCTTTTTATTCTACTGTGTATCACTGCTTGTATTGTGAGGCACAGCTAGGAAGCGTCCAGTACGGGCTGAAGAAACAATGCCTTTATGTGATTTTCTTTTTTTAATGCAGGCTGCAAGGTAAAATATGATTTGGAAGGAGTTATGAGGACAGTCCTGGTGATCGATTTTAAGCATTACTGTAATGTACATGTAGAGGTTAGATGGAGGGTGACCAGAGCCAGTGAAAAATGGAGAAAATAAGATTTAAAGCAGGAGAGTTGAAGGTACGACTTAAAGTATGGATAGATACGTGTATGTTGTGAAGTGAAAGTGTGTTCGAGAAGATCTATTCTGAAAATCAGTTGGACAGGTAACTGATAATCTTTGGCTAGTCATGGGTAGTCAAATACAACTTTATTGTGTTGCACCTGAGGGATTAGGCGTGGGACGGCAGCCAGAGGCTACATATCTACTGCTGCGCGTGCAGCACAGAGGAGGGTTTGCTAATGCAGGCAATGGGTTTGGATCCATCCCATCCTGCCAGGGAGTAGAACTGGCCTCTTCTGCCTGAGCCTGGTGTAGTTCCTTGAGCAGTATGCTGAAGCCTGGATTTTATCCTAAAATGTGGAAGTCATTGTTTCCCTGCAGACATAAAATATGATTATGATGAATTACTTCAAAAGATGACATGCAAAATAGTTTTCTCTGGAGCGTGTAACAATTTAGCAGGGGCACTCTGACTCCTGCAGAAATAAGTGGAAAATAATAGCTAACTATGGCCTGCAAAGTGTTGCAAGGGCAAGAAGTTTCATTCCTTACTGAACCATTCACTTAGTGTTGAACATGGGTATAAATTTTGTTAAAGTGGTGCTGGGAGGCTGACTTCTTAGATTTATGTTCTATGCTGGTGAAATCTCGATCACACTAAAAACTGGTAAAATGTTGTGACTTCCCTGAGGCTAAGGACTTCAGTGTGGATTTCACTGAAATGCAAGAAGCTTGAGGTATGAATGAACATTCATTGGCATATCTTGAGGATATCCATTAATTGGGATATCTTGCAGACCATTTTAGAGGGTATTTTTAAGAAGCCTTGAGAATCTTTTTACCTGCAAACTTGCTGTCATATCCCTTGCCTTTGAACCTCTAGGTGGCGCTGTTTGTTCTGTAGATGCTTTCAACTATACATGCTGCATTTGAAGTGAATCTATTTTTAGACTGTTATGGCAGAATCCATCTTTCTTCACTACCTTTTCCCCTACTGTATTTTATGGTCCTGTTCTGTTTGCTGCTACTGCGCCAAATAGATAACAGCCATTATCCTTAGTATCTAGGAGCTCCTTTTCAGTCTTTTACCTGTCTGTAAGCCAAAGAATGCTGAAGTCGTGAGAGAAGCAGAGTCACAGAATTTCTAAAACATAAAGAAATAAGGTTTTATGGTAAACTGAAGGCTTTTTGCCAGCCCAGGTATTGTTAAAAGGGGTAGTGGAGGTAGTCCTTTGGTTTCTATTTCAGGAACATTTCTACTACAGGGGTTTTCATAATAATAACTTGTGATATTTTTCCCATTGTGTTCATCAGGATAAGGTTGGAGTCTTCATAGCCTTTCTGGTGGTTGCCATAGCAACCTGCATTGACAGGCTAGAAATCACTTTCCTATGAGAATTTTTTGTACTTTGAATGATGATATGTTACTTGGTTATCCATTAAAAAAGGAGGATACGACTTTTGTGATGTAGATTGCCAAGTTCAGGATTTATTCAAAAAAATCAGGGATTTCAAACCAGGCTGACACTTCAAAATGTAAAATCTCAGGCCATCTTTTAGACACAAGTAGTATGTAACAAGATAGTAAGCATTCTTTCTGTCTTTGTAGAAAGGCATAATATAAGATATAGATTGCTTGTCTTAGAAATTGTTTTTAATTAGTAAATTAATGCTAATCTAATTTGAATGGTTTAATTTTAGTATCTGTATCGGTTAAGAAAAATTAATACTAAATCTATAAATGACAAGACTTGAAAATTACTTCAGTGTGTCTCTGATATACCCAGGACTTGCTATTGAGAAGAAGACAGGCAGTTGAGTGAGAAGTTTAAGGAAGTTGGAAGTGTTGGTGAATTAGGGAGGG